ATAAAAATAAAAAAACAGGCCAGGCGTAGTAGCTTATGCCTGTAATCCAAGCACTTTGGAGGCCAAGGTGGGTGAATCACCTGAGGTCAGGAGTTCAAGACCAGCCTGACCAAGATGGTGAAACTCCGTCTTTAAAAAAAGAAAATAAAAAAATTTTTTTTAAAACAAATAAATAAATAAAATTTTGCGTGCTCAACTGCTCGTTTAAGGAAGCAGATAAATCCCCAAACAGAACAATTTTTTCTGAAAACAGGAGATTCCAGTCTCCTTGAATCTCCGTAATAAGGAAGTTGCCTCTGCTTTAACACTTAGAAAAAACACCTACAAAACCCTTCTTTTTTTACCCCCTTTCCTCTTCCTTTTTTTTTTTTTTTTGAGACAGGATCTTGCTCTATCGCCCAGCCTGGAGTGCAGTGGCACAATCACAGCTCACTGTAGCCCTGAACTTCTGGGCTCAAGTGATTCTCCAGCCTCAGCCTCCTGAGTAGCTAGGACTAAAGGCATGCCCAGGCAATTTTTTACTTTTTGTAGAGATGGAGTCTATGTTGTCCAGGCTGGTTTTGAACTCAGACTCCTGGACTCAAGTGATACTTCCACATTGGCCTCCCAGAGTGCTGGGATTGTAGGCATGAGCCACCAGGCCTAGCTTCCAACCACTTATTTTTCTATTGCTATTTTCTTGTTTTCATCTTGCAAAACACACTGCTTTACCATTGCCCAGTGGGAATTTTCTTTCTAACGTATAGAATGAAGGTTGCCCCACTTCTTGAGTTGTGACTAAAAGTTAATTAGATCTATAATTAAATTTGTTGTAATTTTGTCTTCTAACAGATTTTTTTTTTTTTTTTTTGATTCTGTCACCAGGCTGGAGTGCAGTGGCATGATCTCAGCTCACTGCAACCTCCGACTTCCGGGTTCAAGCGATTCTCCTGCCTCAACCTCCCGAGTAACTGGGACTACAGGCACCTGTCACCACGCCCAGCTAATTTTTGTAATTTTAGTAGAGATGAGATTTCACCTCACCATATTGGCCAGTGTGGTCTCAAACTGCTGACCTTGTGACCTGCCCTCCTCAGCCTCCGAAAGTGCTGGGATTACAGGTGTGAGCCACCATCCCTGGCCCCTTTGACAGATTTTTCTTTTTGTTTATTTTTGAGGGGAGAGGGATGGAGTTTTGCTCTTGGTGCCCAGGCTGGAGTGCAATGGTATGATCTTGGCTCACCACAACCTCCACTTCCCAGGTTCAAGTGATTCTCCTATCTCAGCCTCCTGAGTAGCTGGGATTATAGCCATGCGCCACCAAGTCTGGCTAATTTTATATTTTTAGTACAGACAGGGTTTTGACATGTTGGCCAGGCTGGTTTCAAACTCCTGACCTAGGTGATCCACGTGCCTTGGCCTCCCAAAGTGCTGGGATTACAGGTGCGAGCCACTGCGCCCAGCCTGAATTAAAGTTTAAAGGTTAGTTTTCTAGGCTATACAATTTTTTTTTTTTTTAAGAGGAACTCTCGCTCTGTTGCCCAGACTGGAGTGCAGTGGCAATTTCAGCTCACTGTAGCCTCTGCCTCCTGGTTTCAAGCAATTCTCCTGACTCAGCCTCCCAAAGTGCTAGGATTGCAGGGTTGAGGCACTGTGCCCGGTCTAGGTTATACATTTTATTTTATTTTATTTGAGACAGAGTCTCGCTCTGTCACCAGGTGCCAGGCTGGAGTGCAGTGGCACAATCCAGCTCACTGCAACCTCCGCCTCCTGGGTCGAAGCAATTCTCCTGCCTCAGCCTCCCGAGTAGCTGGGACTACAGGTGCACACCACCATGCCCAGCTAATGTTTGTATTTTTAGTAGAGACGGGGTTTCACCATGTTGGCCAGGATGGTCTCAATCTCTTGACCTCATGATCCGCCAACCTTGGCCTCCCAAAGTTATGGGATTACAGGCGTGAGCCACCGCACCCGGATAGGCTATACATTTTTTTTTTCTTCTTTTCTCCAAAGCAGAAACAGGCTACACATTTTTTTTTTTTTTTTTGGAGACGGAGTTTTGCTCTTGTTGCCTAGGCTGGAGTGCAATGGCGTGATCTTGGCTCACCGTTCCTCCTCCTCCTGGGTTCAGGCAATTCTCCTGCCTCAGCCTCCCAAGTAGCTGGGATTACAGGCACGCGCCACCATGCCCAGCTAATTTTTTGTATTTTTAGTAGAGACGGGGTTTCACCATGTTGACCAGGATGGTCTCGATTTCTTGACCTCGTGATCCACCTGCCTCGGCCTCCAAAGTGCTGGGATTACAGGCTTGAGCCACTGCGCCTGGCCAAGGCTACACATTTTTAAGCAGTCATGTAGACTAAAAAAATATGGTGCTTCAACTACTGTTTTAGTAGAATATCTTTTTTCTCTTTCTTAATATCTTTTTTCTTCTTCCTTCCTTCCTTCTTTCTTTCTTAATATCTTTTCCTTCCTTCCTTCCTTCTTTCCTTCCTTCCTTAGTTCCTTCCATCTACCCACCTTGGCCTCCCAAAGTGCTAGGGTTATAGGCTTGAGCCACAACCTCTGGCCCAGAAGGAATATCTTAAGCAAAACCACTGTCCTACTACAGTAGTTCATATGTGCTTCCTTTTTTCTGAGACAGAGTCTCACTGTTGCCCAGGCTGCGGTGCAGTGCTGTGATCTTGGCTCACTGCAACCTCAAGCAATTCTCCTGCCTCAGCCTCCCAAGTAGATGGGACTACAGGTGCGTGCCACCATGCTCGGCTAATTTTTGTATTTTTAGTAGAGACGAGGTTTTACCATGTTGGCCAGGTTGGTCTTGAACTCCTGACCTCAGATGATCCACCTGCCTCGGCTCCCCAGAGTGCTGGGATTACAGGTGTGAGCCACAGCGACCAGCTAGTATGTGCTTCTAATGTAAGAATTATCAAACAATTATCAAATAGTATTTTAACTGTTTGTATTTTTCCCTACCAAACAGGAAGTGCTTAAGTGCAGGGTTTTTGTCTCAATTTTTGAGCCTAGGGTCTAGCTTAATGCTAAATACATAGTAAATACTCAATTAAAAACATTTTTTTTCTTTTTGGAGGGAGAGAGGACAGAAAAAAAGGAAAGAAGGGGAAAATGAAGGCAGGAAAAAGAGAGAGAAAGAAGAAGTCCACTTAGAATAGGAACTTTATAATTGAACTAGTAAATTTCTCATTTAAATAATTTAAACCTGACTTGAAGTATAAATATTATATATAAACATCTTAAATATAGCATAGGAATGCTGCACAATTGTTTTATTATAAAAATTTTAGGGCCAGCTTTGGTGGCTCACACCTGTAATCCCAGCACTTTGGGAGACAGAGGCAGGTGGATCATCTGAAGTCAGGAGTTTAAGACTAGCCTGATCAACATGGTGAAACTCCGTCTCTAGTAGAAATACAAAAATTAACTGGGCATAGTGGCGGGTGCCTATAATCTCAGCTACTCAGGAGGCTGAGGCAGGAGAATCGCTTGAACCTCGGAGACAGAGGTTGCTGTGAGCTGAGTGCCATTGCACTCCAGCCTGGGCAACAAGAGCAAAACTCCGCCTCAATAAAAATGGAAATTTTAAAACGTAGTTTACAACATTCAAATATTACTTCAAATAGTTTAATGTCCTCCAGACTATATATTCCAAAATGAAGCCGGGTGCAGTGGCTCACACCTGTAATCCCAGCACTTAAGGAGTTGGGGGCAGGCAGATCACTTGAGGCCAGGAGTTCAAGACCCGCGTGGCCAACATGGTGAAACCCTGTCTCTACTAAAAATACAAAAATTAGCTGGGTGTGGTGGTGCACGCCTGTTGTCCCAGCTACAAGAGAATCACTTAAACCCAGGAGGCGAAGGTTGCAGTGAGCCGAGATCTTGCCACTGCACTCCAGCCTGGGTGACAGAGCAAGATTCCATCTCAAAAAAAAAAAAAAAAAATTGTACTTCTCATAATACATTATATCAGTGTTCTCAAAGTGGGGTTCCTGGATCAGCAACATCCACATCACTTGGAAATTTGTTAGAAATGGAAATTATCCAGTCCCTCTCTAACTCTCTTGAATCAGAAACTCTGAAGGGGGGGGGTGTCTATCATTCTCTTTTCATAAGTACTACAGGAGATTAAGATGCTACTCAAAGTTTGAGAAACACCAAAGTTAGTGCTTAAGTATGGATGAAGAAGCACCACTCAAATTCAAATTTTCATATTGTTAGACAAAAAAGATTAAACTTAAAAATTTTTTCTCACTATTAAACTTCCCCATCACAGAACTTTTAGAATATATAGAAATTTAAAAACAACAACAGATGGAGGAAAAAATCTTAAACTTTCATTTAGTCATAGACTACTTGGTTTCCTCTCGTTACAGCCTCCACCCCCCAAATTATTCCCTACCGAAATTGTCAATTTTTTTTTTTAAGGTGTAATGTCTCTCAGAGTTTTTAAGTTCTGTTCGTGGCAGCTTTCCAAAATCCTTCTCTAAAGTATCAGGAGGACATATGTCAATTAGTAAGAGCACAAATCTGAAATCTGGCAAACATCAATTTCATTCCGACTCAGTCACTTAGTGACTAAGGTCAGTGTGTTTCAGCGTCTTTGAGCTTTGTTCCTTATCTGTAAACCCAAATCCTATCAGGGCTAACAGCGATTATGTCAGAAAAGCACTGATTCCAACGTCAGGCGCCGCGGGCACTTTGCGAGGACCGAGAAACCGCAGCAAAGAATGCGGGAATGAGTAGTGGGGTGAAGAAGATGAAGCACCTGATTGCCTAAACCAGTCGTTTCCCTCCTCCAGCACTCAAAAGATCAACCTTAGCTCCTTCCAAGGATTCGTGGGGAAAACTCGCCCCGAGGGACTGGGGACACGCATATTTTAAAAAGGTCTCCCAATGTGATTCCACGGGGTCATAGGGAAAAGAATACGTGAAGTGACGGAACTGGCCTCTATCCTTTGCGAGGTCCCTTTAAGAACCTCACTCTGTTGTCTTTCTCCCGCCCGCCCCTGGGCGGAGGCGGAAGCGGAAGTGGCGAAGGAAGTGCCTGTCTCCAAGATGGCGGCCGCCTGGCCCTCAGGTCCGTGTGCTCCGGAAGCCGTGATTATCAGACTCCTCGGTGTCCTGTGGTTCGTCTCAGTCACCACAGAACCCTGGGGGGCTGTTGCAACCTCTGCCGGGGGCGAGGAGTCGCTTAAGTGCGAGGACCTCAAAGTGGGACAATATCCTCTGTGGGGAACACCCCCACAGGAGGCGAGGTAGAGTTGGGGTCGCAGGTGGGTCGCTGCCCTCAGCACGGGTTAGGGCGGTAGTGAATGAAAACAATAACCTGCTCTGTGACTTCTGAAGACTGAGAGATCCCTGAAGGTGAACAGAGTTGTGGAGATGGAAGGGCCAGAGGCCAGCCTTTGTGATTTTTTATGATTTTGCTAGTCATTGGCGCTTCCTCTTCCGATCCAATTTTTTTTTTCTTTTTTACCGGTGTGCTTACTTGTTCAATAAAACATGTAGATCCTGAAGTATTCCAGGCCCCGTTCTAGACACAAGTAATACAAGGATTGATAGTTTCTACCTTGGAAATGTTTGCCAACTCTTCCCAGGGGGGAAGACAAGTAATTAATAATGATCTAGCCTATGTGTGTTACCCATTTATCGTTAACTTCATATATATTACCTCATGTCATCTTCAAACTTCATGAGATGCTGGACTGCCAGTGGACAGATTTCTGTTTTCTTTTTCCTTTTTTTTTTTTGAGACAGGGTCTCGCTCTGTCACCCACGCTGGGGTACAGTGCCGCCATCGCAGCTCGCTGCAACCTCTCTCTCCTGGGTTCAAGCAATTTTCCTGCCTCAGCCTCCTGAGTAGCTGGGACTACAGGCATGCGCCACCACACCTGGCTAATTTTTATGTTTTATTTTCTTTTATTTTTATTTATTTTTTTGAGATGGCGTTTGCTCTTGTTGCCCAGCCTGGAGCCCAGTGCAGATCTTGGCTCACCGCAACCTCCCCCTCCCGGGTTCAAGTGCTTCTCCTATCTAAACCTCCCGGATAGCTGGGATTACAGGCATGAACCACCATGCCCGGCTAATTTTGTGTTTTTAGTAAAGATGGGGTTTCTTCATGTTGGTCAGGTTGGTCTTGAACTCCCGACCTCAGGTGATCCGCTGGCCTCAGCCTCCCAAAGTGCTGGAATTACAGGCATGAGCTGCTGTGCCCAGCTAGTTTTTGTATTTTTAGTAGAGACTGGGATTACGCCATGTTGGCCAGGCTGGTCTTGAACTCCTGGTCTCAAGTGATGTGCAACCCCCTTGGCATGAGCCACTGCTCTGGGCCTCAGTGGACAAATTAATATTGCGCTTTGTAACCTTTGGTGACTTATTTGAACTCTGTTTTCTCATGAGTGAAAACGTGGCAAATTATGGCACAAAGGTTTGTTGTAATGTTTATGTATTATATTATTTGTAGAGACAGACGTCTCATTATGTTGCCCAGGCTATTCTTCCCAAACTCCTGGGCTTCAATAATCCTCCTGCCTCAGGTATTATTTAGCAATACTGAAATGTATTTGTACATACGCTTATTGACTTGGACAACCTAGCAGCCTCTATGTACATGTGAATATCAATGTGAGTATATCATATGAATAGTAAAGGCATGATAATGTGTTGTGTTGGAATGTGGTCCATATTTCCTTAACTTTTTTTTTACATATATTTGTAAAGATCCAAAAATAAATGAAGCTACGCAAGAACCAGTTAACTGTACAAACTACACAGCTCATGGTAAGACTTCCAGAAACGTGTCTTTAAAAATAATTTTAAAAACGTTATTTCACAGGTCAATGTATGATCACTAAAGGCAATTAGTAAATGCATTTTTTTCTAAGTTATAACATTATTATTTAGTTTCCTGAGTAAGTTAAAAATGGAGAACCAGCTAGGGGGTGTCAGCATTTAATTAAAAAAAGAACCTTCTGAAATGGTGAAATTTCACCATATAAACAGTAATAGGGCTGGGGATGGATGTTCTCAGATTCAGTTAGACAAGTGTACTTATATTTTATATACTTTATTTTCCCCCAATGAATAAGCATATCATTTCCTCATATGAAAAGCCTTCCTTTTATTTTCCTTTAGCTCTCTACTTGCATCATCTGTGAATACTTACCTAATAGTTCTTGGCTAATACCATAATATCTTTATGCTTCCCAGCAACTTCATCACTTTCGTTTATATCACTTTGATAAATGTCATTTATGTTACTGTGCTTATATTACTTTGGTTTATATTTGTTTGATTTGGGGTGTGTGTTTGTGTGTGCACATTTAACATTCAGTTGGCACCAAAATGATTTTGTATATGTTTATAAACTTGTTATTAATAATTTTTAAGTAGATTCAACATTTTATTTCAGAAGAAACCTAACTGGAGGGCAGGAGGGCAGACTTCTTTTGGAGAAGAAATTCTTTTTAGTTGTATAATTTTCTTTAAAATCCCCATATCTACAAAAAACTTTCCAGCTAGAAAAATGCTTTTTTTTTTTTTTTTTTTTGAGATGGCTGGCTACCTGCTTCCTATTTTGAAGTGAGATGCTTGAGTTATAATAGTATTGACAGATTTCTAGCATCTTTCATATGAATGATTGAAACAACTACTTGAGAACTCTTCTCTTTGTGTAAGTCTGTTCTCTGTGTTCTGAAAGCTGCAATATAAAAGACTTCAGAGTGTAAAACAGGCAAATCAAAGCATATTTATAAGTTAACTACAAAGGGAAGGATTACTTACAAAGCTCCTTTTAGTGGCTGGGCGCAGTGGCTTATGCCTGTAATCCCAGCACGTTGAGAGGTTGAGGCAGGTGGATCACAAGGTCAGGAGTTTGCACGTTGGGAGGTTGAGGCAGGTGAATCGCAAGGTCAGGAGTTTGGAGACCAGCCTGGCCAACATGGTGAAACCCTGTCTCTACTAAATAGACAAAAATTAGCCAGGCGCACGTGGGTGCCTGTGATCCCAGCTACTCAGGAGGCTGAGACAGGAGAATCACTTGAACCCAGGAGATAGAGGTTGCAGTGAGCTGAGATCATACCACTGCACTGCAGCCTGGGTGACAGAGCAAGACTTCATCCCTGTCTTGAGTGGGGGAAAAAAAATTTCTTTTAAATGTAATATATCTAAATAAAATAAAAGTGTGCATACTGAGCAATATCTCCTATATAAGGCCTATATTATCTTATTACTCTTCTTTCCAGGACAGGGTCTTATCATGTCACCCAGGCTGGAGAGCAGTGGCGCCATCTCAGCTTACTGCAACTTCTGCCTCCCAGGATCAAGTGATAATCCCACCTCAGCCTCTGGAGTAGCTGGGACTACAGGCATGCGCCACCATGCCCAGCTAATTTTCTTTCTTTCTTCTTCTTTTTTTTTTGTATTTTTGGTAGAGAAAAGGTTTCACCATATTGCCCAGGCTGGTCTCAAACTCCTGGGCTCAAGCAGTCTGCCTGCCTGGGCCTCCCAAAGTGCTGGGTTTATAGGGATGAGCCATCAGGACTGGCTCCCCAACCTTTTTTTGTTGTTGTTAATTGTAGAGATGAGGGTCTCCCTATATTGCCCATCCTGATCTTGAACTCCTTAGGTTCAGGCAGTCCTCTTGTTTGGTTTCCCAAAGTGGTGGGATGACAGGCATGAACCACTGTGCCCAGCTAATTAATTGCCTTTTTTAAAACACACAAAAGGTTGTGGGTTAGCTATGGTGAATCAATTCACCATAGCTATCAAATCAAGTCCTGATCAGAGAAAGATGTCAAAATAACTCTTGAAACACGCTTTTTGGTTCTAATACAGTTGTGAAAAGTGTGAGTTAAGTGATCTCTCTCTTTTTCCAGCCAAAATTATTTTTCCTTTTTTTTTTTTCACTGAGTATATGAAGAACTATTGCGAAATTCTCAAATTATGTTTCTTTTTCTTTTTTTTTTTTTTTTTTTGAGACAAGTCTCGCTCTGTTGCTCAGGCAGGAGTGCAGTGGTGTATTCTCAGCTCACTGCTACCTCTGCCTCCTGGGTTCAAGTGATTCTCCTGCCTCCGTCTCCCAAGTAGCTGGAATTACAGGCATGCACCACCACACCCAGCTAATTTTTGCAGTTTTATTAGAGACGGGATTTTGCCATGTTGGCCAGGCTGGTCTTGAAGTCCTGACCTCAGGTGATCCACCTGCCTCACCCTCCTAAAGTGCAGGTGTTAGCCACTGTGCCCAACCTAATTTTCTTTTTCTTTTTTTTTTGAGACAGGATCTTGCTTTGTCACCCAGGCTAGACTGCAGTGGCACCATCTTGGCTCACTGCAAACTCCACCTCCTGGGCTCAGGCGATCCTCCTACCTCAGTCTCCCGAGTAGCTCTGACTACAGGTACATGCCACTACGCCTGACTAATTTTTTGTATTTTCTTTTTGGGAGTGGGTAGAGGTGGTGTTACCCAGGCTGGTCTGGAACTTCTGGACTCAAGTGATCCACGTGCCTTGGCTTTCCAAAGTGCTGGGATTACAGGCATGAGCCACCACACCTGGCTGTTTAATTTTCATAAACTAATCTTTGGGTAGGGATGAATGTGAGCAGTGTTTTACAGAGGGGATTTTAGGGCTAGTGAGTAAAAATTGGGACAAAAGGCAATGGAAATTCAGCTATGACAATAAATTGATGTGATCTTAAAATGATTCCTGGTTAGCTCAATATCATTTAACAAGCACATTTGTTTGTTGAGAAAGTATTTATTTGTAATGAATAATTTAAAACTAAATTTACTTTAATTATTGAATTAAGACAATTTATATTACAAAATATTGTTTATTGATTGAGAATTTGTTCATTTATTTATATTTATTTATTAAGAAATTATTATGTGGCAAGCATCTGCTAGGTGTTGTAGGTGATATACAAAGGAAGACATAATCTCGGCCCTCAAGAAGTGTTCTGTCAGCCAGATGAGGTGGCTCAGGCATGTAATCCCAGCACTTTGGGAGACTGAGGCAGTTGGATCACCTGAGGTGGGGAGTTCAAGACCAGATTGGCCAACATGGTGAAATCCTGTCTCTACTAAAAATACAAAAATTAGGCAGGCATGGTGGCACACACCTGTAGTCCCAGCTACTCAGGAGGCTGAGTCAGGAGACTCACTTGAACCTGGGAGGCAGAGGTTGCAGTGAGCCAAGATTGCGCCACTTTCCTCCAGCCTGGGCAATAGAGCCAGACTCTATCTTAAAAAAAAAGAAGTGTTCTGTCTAGGTTATATACACATATATCAGCAAGTATTTTCAATTTTTCTATCACTGAAATGCAAAAAAATACTTAGATTTTACCTCCAGAAAATTTTGTTACGGTCCTTTGACAGAAGTCTTCTTTATTTTCTTAATTAGTATTAAAATATAGTATATTGGCTGGGCATGGTGGCTCACACCTATAATCCCAGCACTTTGGGAGGCTGAGGCGGGTGGATCACCTGAGGTCAGGAGTTGGAGACCAGCCTGACCAACATGCTGAAGCCCTGTTTCTAAAATTAAAAAAAAAAATATTATATTAAAAATATAGTATTTTTACAGAAAAGTGCTTGTAAGTATAATTCAAATGATCTTCACAAACAACACACCTGTAAATGCTTCCATATCGAGGAACAACATGATCAACATGCCAGAAGCCCTCTTCATAGTCTTTTATAGTCACTATTTTGCCTCAATGGGTAACCACTATTTATTCTAACTTCTGACTGTGAATTCGTGTTGCAAAGTATATATTTTTTATTTAAAAAAATTTTATTTTATTTTATTTATTTATTATTTATTATTTATTTATTTATTTTTTTTGAGACGGAGTTTCGCTCCTGTTACCCAGGCTAGAGTGCAGTGGCGCAATCTTGGCTCACCACAACCTCCGCCTCCTGGGTTCAGGCAATTCTCCTGCCTCAGCCTCCTGAGTGGCTGGGATTACAGGCACGCGCCACCATGCCCAGCTAATTTTTGTATTTTTAGTAGAGACGGGGTTTCACCATGTTGACCAGGATGGTCTCGATCTCCTGACCTCGTGATCCACCCGCCTCGGTCTCCCAAAGTGCTGGGATTACAGGCTTGAGCCACTGCGCCCGGCCAATTTTTTTATTTTTTATTTTTAAAGACAGGGTTTCACCATGTTGGCCAGGCTGGTCTTGAACTCCTGACCTCAGGTGATCTGCCCACCGCGGCCTCCCAAAGTGTTGAGATTACAGGCGTGAGCCACTGTGCCTGGCCAGCAAAGTGTATATTATTTTTTAACTTTTTATTTGGAGATAGTTTTAAACCTACAGAAAAGTTGAAGAATAAGAGTAGTACAAAGAACTCCTCCCATATACCTTTTACCCAGATTGACCAATTGTTAATATATTCTCTCTCTCAATTTGTTTGTGTATATACTTTTTTCTGCCCCTATGAATAATTTTGTGTTTTTCTTTCTTTTTTTTGACACGAAGTTTCACTCTTGTTGCCCAGGCTGGAGTGCAATGGTGCCATCTTGGCACACCGCAACCTCCACTTACCAGGATCCAGTGATTCTTCTGCCTCAGTCTCCTGAGTAGCAGGGATTACAGTCATGTGCCACCATACCGGCTAATTTTTTGTATTTTTAGTAGAGTCGGGGTTTCTCCATGTTGGTCAGGGTGGTGTCGAACTCCAACCTCAGGTGATCCACCTGCCTCAGCCTCCCAAAGTGCTGGGATTACTGGTGTGAGCCACTGTGCCTGGCTGGGACAGAGTCTTGCTCTGTCACCA